TATATATATGCATACAAGCGCCCTACCGAGGGGGCACAATTTGACTTTACATTGATATTTTCTTAATTTTTCTAACGTTTTTCTTGGGTTAGGTTTCCTACAGAGAAGTCCAGACCGTGATTTTGAAATTAAAAGTTATTACGAGTGTTTAAAAAGAATCACTTGTTTTTTGTTTTCACAATAACTGCAAATTTTCTCTTAATCCATTTGTGCATACAGTGGTTTAATGCGAAAATTGAACGGAATCTATAGAATAACTCTAAAGAAAATCAAATTTTTTACTTTCGACTTTTGAAAAACTGGATAATTCAGAAACTAATGAACCGATTTCATTTCATTCTTGTATTTTGAAGATGATTCAAGCATTGCGTAGTCTTACAATCTTATACATAATTATTTAAAGTAATATATAACTATTTTAAACAGTATTTTTTGCATGAAAATATCTTTGGATACACGCAAATATTATAATCATCTGCAAAAAAAACTTTATAAACTATTTAAAAAATATAACGAACGAAAAATATAACGAAAAGTGAACCTAACTTACTTTAATCCTTCGTCCTTTTGACTCTCTAATTACAAGTAAAATATATATTTTGGTGCTTTTTAATTATAAAAAACAGTCTAATAGTAACTAAAAGAAATTGTTAGATTCTTGGAGTTATAATTGTCAAAATATATAAAATAAAAAAAAGTAGTTTGAAAAAAAGTATTTTTTTTTTCATTCATATTTAAAAATTTATAAATAATTGATTTTGAAAATTAAAGAAAACTTCAGATGAATGACTTTTATATCTGAATAATTGCAAATAATTGCAAATTTAAAAAATTATTGTTCGAAAATGAGCGGTGTTTGAAAGATTTGACCTTCAACGTAGAGAAAGATAACAATGTCTCATGCTATATTTTATAACCATAAATTACTAAAATGCTAAATATAATATTTTTCACTTATTTGGACCTAAATTAGTAAGTAATAACGAAAAAAGTATGAAAAATATGTTTGATAAATATTCTGCGCCGAAGGGTTGAGGGTTTCGTACTTTCAACTGTTATCCTACCAAAACTATTGGGATCATACTTTGAAACTTTCAGCTACTCCCCGCCCCGCTATTTTGAGTGTCAAGACTCCAAATCCATCGAAAAAAAGATGTTTATTGAGAGCTGTTGCTGCTGCTGTTGTTAATTTACGTCGCACTAGAGCTGCACAATGGGCTATTGGCGACGGTCTGGGAAACATCCCTGAGGATGATCCGAAGACATGCCATCACAATTTTGATCCTCTGCAGAGGGGATGGCACCCCTGCTTTGGTAGCCCGACGACCTGCACGCGAAGTCGAGCACTTCACGGTAGAACAGTTTGACGAGGACCAATACCCCACACCCTCGGTCCCTACGCAGACTGATCCAAGTGGTCACCCACCCGCACACTGACCGCAGCCAGTGATGCTTGACTTCGGTGATCTGCTGGGAACCGTGTCTTAACGATCAGTCCACTGCGGGACTGTTTATTGAGAGAAAAATACGTTTTTGCATCTTGTGGGGATCTGGGTTATCGATAATGTCAACCTTTATCTATGAAAAGGTACCCCAGCATAGTATCAAGATAACATGTCTTACATACTAGTGAATTGGAATTGTATTTTTGTAGTGGTAGACGCACTGCATACCTCATTTTGTAACTTAAAGCATCGTCTGTCGTAGCTAATTATAACGAATTCAAAGTTAGGTCCTCTAACCATTAAGATTAAATTTTAGTACGTGAAAATGCAATAATTAGATGAAAAGTTATTCAGATTATTCGCTTTTTTTGCACCTATACAGACCACTTTTAGTGACTGGTCATCAATAATTTAATGCAAAAGTTCAAGTACTATTTCTTATTGATAAAACCTACCATTTCTTGACGTTTCAATTATAAGCAACTGGAAGACACAATCACACAGCTAAAGATCAAGTTATCTAGTTCAGTGTCGTAATTTGAACATAATTCACAGATACTACGCTTTTCAAAGCTTTGAACTACATCTAGGATACTGTGATATTGTAAAAGATTACAACTAAGATTATAAATACCGGGTGTCTGACGATGAACTGACTGATTTCAAAATTAAAAATCTCGAAAACAACGAGCTATAGAGAAATACAACATGTATGTTGATTGAAAAAGCTGTAAAAGCTCTGTGCATCAGTTTTGGAATTTAGTTACAAAAGTTACCGACAGATGGCGCTGCAAAGCATCGATGACCAGATCGATTAGTTTGGTCGTTAAAAAGTGTTGTATCATGTTAGGAATTTAAAACTATGCATATATCAATAGATTGAACATCATGTATTTCTGGTACCGGAATATTACAGGTTAGAATATAGTACTATAGCATTTGTTTTCTTTTCAAGAACTCAGAACTCTCCATTTGTTGGCGACTTTTCTAAATAAATTTCAAAATTTCTACATGAAAATTTATGCAGCTTTCGCTACAGACGTACTGTTACATTTCATTCCCCCGCCCCCGACTCCCTTTGTTTCCATGAACAAAGTCAGTGAACCTCTGAACACTATTGGAGATCGAAATGGGCTACAGGTGGCGTAGAGAAGAACTCTCTACCTATGGCAACAGTTCGCATGCTCTCACCATTAGCGTGTGAAGAGTAATAGGAGAAGGAAGTACGTTAGTTTTTGTCTTGATTTTCAAATAGTTTAAAAACTTTTAAGTTGGGAAACTATATGGAACTGAAAACTACATTAAACATAAAACATTGAGGAAATTTTAGAAAACTTTTTTGACAATTAAATACAAAAAAATATTAAAACGGGAAAATATCGTAGCACATTCCTATATAACTGAGTAGAAGAGGATAGGGTTAACCTGTACTGTATTCACTTGCATTAGCTTGAATTCATTATATGGTACTATATTTCAGAATGCAAGAGGCGCACGATGATGACGTCAGCGCAGAAACTGGTACTTGTCTCAACGAAGAGATCAAGAAAGAAGGACAGAGAGTCATAGATGTGATCGGTGGTCATGGACCATGGCAATTACGTCACTGGACAATATTCTTCCTTGCGTCATTCTGCACCTCCCTGCATCTCTTTTCCACCTTACCACTCATATCTCATTCTGTATGCTCTTGCTCAAAGATTAACGGTATATTTAGTTTAATTTTATTTATTAATATTTCAAAATATTTTCGTAACATTCTTAAAAAAATTCCCGTTCATGTAAGTTTATTTGAATTCGCTAATCGCTTTATAGATTTCGTTTTATGATTTGTTCTCTTTTTTCTTCACATTTTACTTTCTGTTTTTACGTAATATTTTTCCTTAATGTGTTCTATTCTGTTTGTTAAAAAAGTTTTTTTCAGTGCTCCTCACACTATTGTATTGATATATTTTGCTTTGGCTATATTGATACAATATTAGAAAGCACTTTTTTTTGCGGATAGAATCGTGTGAGCTAATGCAAAAAAAATTTTATATCTTTTATTTTCCGGATTTTTATTAATTTTTTTTCCTCAAGTAACGAACACTTGCAAGTAAATAGAACTCATAAAATAAGTTCAAAATGTAGAGAAAACATAGAAAAAAATAACACAATAATTAAAAAAGGAAAAAGAAAAAAAAATCCGAAAAAAAATTTCGGATTTTTTTTTCTTTTTGTCCTCTTTGTATTTATTTATTATGATATATTATATATATACAATAAGTTTCATTTATTGCGNTCAGTGCGTGGGCAATAGATGTAGGTACCCAGTGCGCATGCGCAGAACGCCGACCGCAACGCTGCGGCGGCGGTGCAGCAAAACGGTACTTACTTAAAAAACACGACTCGTATATGCTGTGATGGACAGCCCAAAGTAATTCTATAATTTATTATATTATGTATTATTGTTTGCTGCTAGGTCAATTAAAAAAGAAAATTTTTAAAAATGAAACATAAAGTATTTAGGTTGTTAAAGAAAGTTTGAAAATTCTTATAAATTATGTAAATCTAACTAGTAAATAACTAAATCAGTAACTGTTTTTTTTTTTTTTTTTTTTTTTTTAAACTTTCTGTTTTTACTTAATATTTTTACTTAATGTGTTTTATTCTATTTGTTTCAAAAAAAAAATTTTTTTGAGTGCTCCTCACACTATTGTATTGATATATTTTGCTTTGGCTATATCGATACACTATTAGAACGCACTCTTTTTTGCTGATATAATCGTGTGAGCTAATGCAAAAAAATTTTATATCTTTTATTTTCCGGATTTTTATTAAATTTTTTTTTCTCAAGTAACGAACACTTGCATGTAAATAGAACTCATAAAATAAGTTCAAAATGTAGAGAAGACATGGAAAAAAATAACAGAATAATTAAAAAAGGGAAAAAGAAAAAAAAAATTCGGATTTTTTTTTCTTTTTGTCCTTTTTGTATTTATTTATTATGATATATATAAAATGTCTTTATCACAGCAACATGTAACCTTTTTTAAATAACAACTTCTTGTCTTTTAATTCTATAATTTATGTATTTGCTCTTTAGAGGAGAACAATGTGTCAACATCATCAATAGGTTGTAATATTTTAACAAGATGCGACAACAGAACAAATGCCGCATTTGACGAATTGAGTAATCCCTGTTTCTCACCTCTGCCCACCAGTGCATTAGAGATAGCAGATGAGGTATGTTCATGCTTTCAAAATTTATAGCACCTTGTTTCGTCACTTTAAAAAGAGGTTATAAATAGTTTTGCCATTATTCTCGACGCCTCAGATAAGTGTACATGTTTTAAAATAAATCAGACATACTTAAATTTATAGTGACAATAAGTGCATTGCGCAAAAAAAAAAAGAAAAAAAAGACTACTTTTAGAAGCCTTTCTTAATTTCTGCTAGTACAGTATACGCTCGATATCTTGAGAACCTTGTTATGTCAAAAAAAAAAAAAAATCCTCTTGGCATTCTATATCTACCTAATGTTAATTTGAATTCCTATGTCGAAGGATTTCTTCTCAAAACCTTGCTATGTCTAATTTTTTTCGGAATAGAAAATGAATTTTTTCGGAACTACTAACTAGAGAACAATCGCAAAGAAGCGATCAGAATGGAGGAAGGGTCTAGGGAAGGCTCCGACCCACAAAGGGCTATCATTCCAATAGAAGAAAAAGAAGGTCAAAATAATTTGATTTAAGAATTAAAACATAAAGCATGCTTTCCGAGAAAAGTTGGCTTGTCTGCAATTACATTTAACAAAGTTTCTATTTAGTCTTTTAAAGAACATTTATGATAATTTCATAACTTCTGTGATCTGGTCGAGCAACAAAGGCTCAGTAGCATAGAAGAGCGGGTTCGAATCCCGCCGTAACTCTGGACATATCTTTGTGCTGTTCTTCTCTAATTTTGTACTATCTGCGTCAATTTACAACAAAGACGATTTTTAAGTCGTCTTTGTAATGAGCTCACAAGCTTGCATGGGCAAAAATAAATAAGTAAATTCGGATTTCTTTCGAAAAAAAAAGCTAATCAGTAAATTTAGTAGTGTTTTACAGTTTTTAACCTTTTACCTATGACGCCTGATGCTATTCTAAACCATCAGTTGTACCAGCTGTAAGCAAAAAGTTAAACACAGTGTTAACCCAGAGAAAAAATCTCCAAATTTTAATTGTTGCTAATATATTATCTAAAAATTTTTCTATGATAGTCAAAATGTAGTCAACGAAATAAAAATTCACTAATCATGACGTTGCATATTATACAATTCTTATAATAAACTACATAGAATATTGTTGTTATTTTGTCATATTAAATTGCAACTATAAGACTTTCTCTCTTTTTAGGAAAATTTGCATTGCACAAACGTAGCAACTGTTTTTTATGCCAAATGCTTATTTGTTATAGGAGCTTTGATAGCAACTGTTGCCACTTATCCTTTATTAAACAGGTGAGGAAAAATTAAAACTAAACAGATTATTTCTAATTCGAGTTTTTAGTTTAATTTTGTTCGTATCAATTTTCTATCTTCACGTTTCTTTTGCTGATATTGTAAATAAGCGAAAAATTTTTTTATTAAATTTTTTCATTATTGTTTGTTATGATTCAACTATGTACAATGCGAAAAGAAAAGAACAAAATAAATATAAAAAAAGAACACTTTAAATAACTTTGAATGCAATAATCGGATTTTCACGTACTAAGAATTAATTTTAATGGTTAGAGAGCCTAATCTTAAATATGTTAATAAACTGGTGTAGAAGATATTTTAAGTTAAAATGGACACAAAAACGTATTTTCCCTGAATAAATATTCTTCCCTTTTTTCGACGGATTTGGATTTCTGGCCCTCAAGATATGAAAGATTGAGGCAATTTATTTAATTTTAGAACCGCCGTTGAACAGTAGACCCAATTCTTTGGGTTTACGACTACTAATGTTCAACTCCGTAGCCTTGGAATTTCAAACCCAATCCAGAAGACAAAGGAACTCCTGGATTAAGTATTAGGAGAAATTTGCCTTCGTGGAGGACTTTTTGGATGGAACTAACCTGTTTTTGGGTTTCATGGAGAGGAAAACCACGAAGACCTCCCATGGTTAGCTTGACGGCAAGGGGACTCTAACACATGATCCGTCTACCACTGAGGATATTTTTACGTCATTATTGTGGTCGATGCAAGCCGGATGCGGAATTCGTATCGACCAGTCATTGCTGGAATTCGAACCCGGTTTACTTAATTGCAAGGAAAACGCTCTATCCCCTGATCCATCGCGACTCGATAGCGGCAATTCGGGACATATAGTCCCAATAGTTTGGCCAGGAGAGCTGTCGAAAATTTGAACCCCTCAATGGGACCTTGGATAAATTTGGACCTTTGCTAATTTCGCAAGCTTCTTCTGCGAATTGAAAAACTTATGCACTCATTTATAGAAATCGTTTGTCCAAATATAATTAGATACAAAATACAGTAATTAACAATTATTTATTTTTAATGTAATGATAGTGAATAATTTATTTTAATTGTCAGGCATTAGGTTTTTACATAATTTTAAAGAATAAAACTTTGTATGGCAAAATACAAAATCGTTTGAATACTTCCTGAGAAATCAAATTTTAAATATACGATTTTTTAATGAATTCCGTTTTGGAAATATCGTAGTACAGAAGGCAAAAGAAAAAAATAAACCACTTTTAATTAACTTTGTGCATTACTATTCCAGTTTGCTTTAATTATTAAAAACTGATCTTTAAAAAATAAATTCTTATTTCAGGTACGGACGACGGTCCGTGTCCTTGACTAGTTGTTTTCTCCTGTGTGCATGTTCTTTAGCAGGAATCTGGGCCTTTGCTGTGGGTCCTTATCTTATTTTAAAATTTGTTATAAGCATTGGAGTTATCAACGTTTATCTCACTGCTGCCTTTACCTGTACGTATATTTTTCACGCCTTAATGCATTATTATTTTTTCAATTTCTGTTCTAAAGTCAGGCATCAAACCTTATTCCGTTCCACAGTCAATCATAAACTATTCCATTCTCTAGTCAATCAGGCATCGAACATAAATCCGTTCTATAATCAGACCTTAAACATTATTCTGTTTTATAGTCAGACATCATACATCTCCTTCTTAATCAGACATTAGATATTATTCTATTCTATAGTCAGACATCAAACATAGTTCCGTTCTATAACATCAGTCATAAAATTGCTATATCGGCAGATATTAAACGTTTTTCTGTTCTAAAGTCAGTCATTAACTATATCATTCTATAGTCAATCAGGCATCGAACGTAAACATATTCTATAATCAGACCTTAAACCTTATTATGTTTTATTGTCAGATATCATATATCTCCTTCTTAATCAGACATTAAATGTTATTCTATTCTATAATCAGACACCAAACATAGTTCCGTTCTATAACATCAAGCATTAATTTGTTTTATCGGTTGATATTAAACATTTTTCTGTTCTAAAGTCAGGCATCAAACCTTATTCCGTTCCACAGTCAATCATAAACTATTCCATTCTATAGTTAGTCAGGCATCGAACATAAATCTGTTCTATATTCAGACATTAAACATTATTCTGCTTTATTGTCAGACATCATTGTCCCACTTATCAGTCAAATAACATGCATTATTCCCTCTTCTATAGTAAAATAATAAACATAATTTTATTCTATAGTTAGACATCAAACGTCATCTTATTCTATAGTCACACATTAAATATTATGATGAGGTATGTTCATACTTTCAAAATTTATAGCACCTTGTTTCGTNTTATATTTCTACATTGCACATGTTGGTTGGGGTTTGGCGCATTTCATATTGCCCCTAATTACTATAGTTGTTCCTAGCTGGACTCTCTACAATGTTGCCATAACTGTGCCTTGCTTTGTACTTTTAGTTCTTTTATGGTAAGTATCAAGACTTATTTACATTATATGTTACTTAGATGATCTTTTCAATCAGTGACATGAACTGTTATCTGTACTTATGCTGCCATCTTGTGAGATTATTAGTAATTAATAAGGAGCAAAAAATTTAAGTAGTTAACACGTTCAGGAGAAGATGTTTTTTGATATAAATTGCTGAGATATGAACAAATATGTTGACTTTTACCTTTTTTTTTTACATAAAAATGTCTTCTTGAAATAAAACAGTTGACGTTTAATAACTTAAAACGATCTTAAACACAGAATTAAAACAAGCATAACGACCTTCGATCCTAACGGTAAGATTTTTCTTGTAACAACCAAACTAAAAAGCTCAAGGTTTGAATCCCAGGGATGGCTGGTGAATGCGAATTCTGTTCCCGAGTCGCATACCACTGTCCTGACGTTAAATATCCTTAGAGGTGGATAGATCATAAGTTTGAATCCCCTTGCATGGTTTTCGTGGTTTTCCTTTACATGTAACGCAAATGCCAATTGGCTCCATCAAAATGTTTCAGTCTAGTTCGAAGGCTAGTTTCTTTGTAATATTTGATCAAGGGGTTCACTTGCCTTCTGGGCTGGTTTCAAAATTACAAGGTTAAGGATTTCAGCATTGATAGTGGTAAACCCATAAGTAGGTCGGCTCTCCAAAGCCGGTCACAAAATGAAATAAAACTAAACTAAAAAATATTTTTCTTACCTTAATTATTATTTTATCAACATTTCAAATTTTTTGGGAGGTTCACTATGAGAGTGTCATACAGAGATGACGAAAATGACGTCACTTCTGCCGATTCAAAATTCATCACTGACCAATCAGTTACTAGAAACAACCCATTCGAATCCTTTTAATTTCAAAGTAAAATGGTGCAAACAACTGGTTGCCATTGGCAACCACAATATTACGGTTTAATTGAATGATAATAGTCAAATGACTTCGATAATTGGCGATCGAAATGGGCTACAGGTGGCGCTAAAGCAGAAGTCTTTACCTATGGCAACACTTCGCCTGCTTTCACCATTAGCGTGTGGAGAGTCGTAGGAGAAGGAAACACGTTAGTTTCTGTCTTGATTTTCAAGTAGATTAAAAACTTTTAAGTTGGGAAACTATATGGAAATAAAAAAAACATAGTTTCTAAAAGATAGCATTGTGGGAATTTAAAAAAAAAATGTTTTTGACTATTAAATACGAAAAATATTAAGGAAAAGGGAAAATATTGTAGTACATTCAAGTAGTACAAGGAGAGGGTCAAGACATGGAACCGGGTCTTCTCCTCAGATGGCGTATTCGAACGTGGAGATACCGAATTTATATGAAAATTCCCTTTAACACTGCAAGAATATTTATAATTATTTTGTTATCGCAGTTAAAATAATGCAGTCATATTATTGTTATTTAGCTTTCTGAATGAAACACCCGAATCGTATGCAGCAAGAGGTTTGTGGCCGAGGGCACACTCAGTGATGAGAAAAGCAGCTAGGTGCAATGGCTATTCCTTGCAAGGTGTCGAACAATTCTCACCACATCTTCTGATTCAACAAAAGGTTATTATTTATGTTACTATGAAGATCACATTTATGTTACTATCAAGATTCTAGATAGACATTCGTTCTCTCAATTAACATGGTTTTTCTCTTTGCTATCACAACAAAAGGTTATCATTGGTAGCTCGACGATCTGCGCGCGAAGTTAAGCACTTTATTGTAGAACAGTTTAACGAGGACAGATACCGCGCACCCTCGGTCCCTACGCAGGCTGATCAAAGTGGTCACCCACCCACTTTCTGACAGCAGCCAGTGATGCTTGACTTCGGTGTTCAACTGGGAAACGTGTCTTTATGATCAGTCCACTGCGGGACACGTTAAACACATTAGAAGACGTTTTTTTGACATTTCGCAGATCATGTGACAAAGTGTGCGATCTACCGAAAGAAGCATGTGCTGCAAATTTCAAGCAGCTGCACAGTTCGATGTGAAAAGTGTGTTGCAGCTAAGAATGAAAGCTAATAAAGATATTTTGTTTTGCTTCATGAAATTAGCAGCATCGAACTTTTTGAATGTAACTTGTACAATAACAACTTAAGTATTTATGTTTGGTAAGGACTTTAATAAAGTGTAAATGGATGGTTCACTGAATGTAAACAATAACAAGTTTCCTAAAATCGGAAAAAATTTATAAAACTTCCGGTGTATCCCTCCGCTTATGTTATGCTTATGAGACGATGCGTGAACAGGCTTGGCATTCTATGAAGTTTTATTATTGAGATTTATGTTCAAATTTACGCGTAATTTTACCATTCATAAGAGTTTTCAGTAATTTATAAATTCTAGCAGGTCGTGAGCTTAAGACAAATTTAACAAAATTAGTATCACAACACAAATAAAGTATAAGGTTAGACATTTTTGGAGTGTTATCACTTATTTGGTTATATTTGTGTAAAATAACGCCATTGGTTATTTTTTGGGTAGCATTTACGGCAAGTTTGCGAGGTTCTTCGAATTCATTTGTTGTTTGTTGAAAGTTAAATTGAAAAAGCATGTTATATTGAAAACACTACATGTATAATAATATTGGATGGTGCGTTTTCACAAGCTTGGGCGTAAAAATCAGTCGGAAGTAGTAACTCAGAAGTCTTACGACGAATTTTAACCTCTAGCGTTTACACGGCTCTTAGCTTTACACAGTCAACCATTCATAGTATATAAATATATCTATAACTAGGAGGATCCGTCCCCTGCTCGCTAATCCCCGAGAATTGCTACGCAATCCTATGTGGTTCACGCCGTGAACCATGGCTCGCTGCGCTCGCTCGCCAATGAGCACAATGTTCTAGCACAAAGACATAATATATTATCATCAAAGACATAGTATTTTATCATCAAAGACATAGTATTGTACTTATGTAGAAGAATTCTACCAATGTTCTTATTGGCTTTTAAAAAAGTATATTAGCTATTTAGATTGTACATGGNGCTCCCGGCTCGTAACAATCACAGTACTAACGTAAAAATATCCCCAGTGGTAGACGGATCATGGATTAGAATCATCTTACCACCGGACTAACCGTGAAACGTTTTTGTGGTTTTCCTCTCCATGTAAAGCAAATGTGGGTTAGTCCCACCAAAAAGTTCTCCACGAAGACTAGTTTTATAATCATTGATTCTGAGATAAAGAAGCTCCAATCACTTATAATCAATAATAAAATATAGCTAAAAATATCTTATGCATGAATCTGAATTGAACAACCTGATAATGCTCACTCTGGTTATTGTTATCTGCGCGCCGAATCCAATCAACTAAAAATGAAAACTGTTGCCAGCGCGAGAAAAGAAATATCATCGGTTTTATTGAAACATACATACATACGTACGTATTAGCGTTTCATATAATATAGATTCGTTTCGAATTTTCTGAAGCGTTGTTTCTGAACTACAGTGCTAATTAATTTTGAAACTCTTGATTTTTTTATTCGGTTATTCGAATAATTTATATTCCAGGAAGAAAATGAATCCAATTTTACTTGGAAAATAGAAAACTATCGTCACACCACCGAGCGCATTGTATTATTTATCATGGGGTAAGTAGCCGTTTTTTATTTTTATAAACATAATTTAGTCTAGGTTGGTATTTTGTTTACGTCTCACTAGAGCTGCCCAATGGGCTATTGGCTACGGTCTGGGAAACATCCCTGAGGATGATCCGAAAACATGCTCTCACAATTTTGTTTCTCTACTGAGGGGATGGCTCCCCCGCTTTGGTAGCCCGACGACCTGCGTGCGAGGTCGAGCATTTTATGGTAGAACAGTTTAACGAAGACCGATTCCACGCACCCTCAGTCCCAACGCAGGCTGATCAAAGTACTGATCACAGCCATTGGTGCTTGACTTCGTTGTTCTACTGGGAACGTCTTACCGATACAAACTTAATACGATAATTGAGTCGGCTGCTCAACGACGATTATAAAATAATTTTGCGTTGTAAACAACACTTTCCGGGACACAAATTCAACAAATGTTACAAACCACTAAAAATCGCTCTTTTTTGCAAGAATTGCATTGAACGTTTAACAACCTCCAATATTTAACTCCTTCATCGCTAAGGACGAGATAACTCGTCTTCCAAAAATATTAGCTGAGTTCTATAGTAGCGTTAGGGAATATGGTTATTGATTTCAATAGGTTATTATTTTTTATAGTAAAATAAACACGTTTGAAAGGAATTTGAGTTTTGTTTCAATTTTAGCACTACGGGGGGAACTCTAAGCACAGAGGATGGGACAAAGGCGCGTCATTTCCGCGATGAAAGTGTTAAATAACAAAGGATATGTCGTTTCACTTAGAATGTATAGTTTGTCTACTGTAAAACTCCTCCCGCCACAAAGTCTGAGGCCGTCTGCTGATATGGAAACGAGGATAGCTCATTTCAGGGACGGTAGTTTCTCTTCACTCTAGGGCTAACACAATAGATCGAGAAAAAAAAAGAGCCCTTTCTCTCGCTGACCTAAACCAAAACTTCTCCTAAAATATTGACCCCACACCCCTACTTGAAAAAGCTATACCTCGTTACCATAGTCACCGCCACTGGTTCAGACAAATGTCTAGGGGAGTTCTTACTTTAGACAAACTATACTGTTTAAGGTCACACTCGTTAATGTGCTGCTTTGCTGTTCCGGTAAGGGTTAAACAAAAACTAATTTTTTAACCGTTGAGGTTCTATACAAAAACGTATGAAAGAAGCGTTTGATAAGAATCATTCACCTGTGTGATGAGACAAATGGAGGTAAATCAGATTCATTTAATTTAGAATCATACATAAACTTGGCTGCAACACAGCGGAGCAATATGGAATCTTTGCTCAGACAACATAAAAGTAATGAATCAGTCAAGTGAACTTACTATAAATCCTTCCTCTTCGCATATTAATGTATTTGTTACAGTGAATGACCGAAATTTAGCGAATGTCGACATTCGCCGGTGAATGTCAACAATCACGCAGTCGCTTTGGTGGATCCAATTTGATATTATTATATTTATTCGATTATCTGCTGAGGAAAAACATCAGAGGTCGAAGTACCGATTAAATGCATACTGGGCAGTGGCACTCGACCTTAAAAAAACATTGATGTAGGGCATACCGGGCAGTGGCACTTAACTAGACCTAGTATATGTTAAGGATATTTACCAAAGCAATCAGGTGATTGTCAACATTCACTGGTGGAAGTAAACAACCACCAGTTTAGGTCATTCCCAGTAACATATACATATATTTAAAAAAAATCTATTTAGTAATGTTTAAAAATTATACTAATATATTATATATGCCTATATGGTGAACAAGGCCTCATACCAAGAAGATCCCAGGCATGGATGTAATTACTCTCTCTCTTCTTGTGTTGCTGGGGTGATGTTGATTAATCTTATATGGTGCCCATGAAAAAGAGACCATATGTTGCTAAATGTAGTGGGCATTGGGAAAAATACGAATGAAGGACTGGCTATTTTTTTTATTTAAATATACTAGATAAACCATAATTATAATAATAAATCATGTCTTCTTTTTTATAGGTTTCTATCATCTTTTGTATATTTCACATCCATATGGCTAACTGATTGGCTGCAGAAAAAAAGGGTCTCCCATTTTGCTTTGTCCGGCACCACAGAAGTTGCCGCTGCTCTTGTACTTCTATTTTTTGCCTACTTTCTTCCCGTCAGGAGAATGTGGGGACTGGCAGCATCATGCACATCCATATTTCTGATAGTAATGTATTCGAGAGAAAAAGCCGGTACGTATAGGCAGTGGTTGATCCATATAAGCATAGCTATTTACGAAAAATTCAATAAAAAGATATCTAATGAAGATGATTGACATCATTTCATTAAGTCACAGATTTAAGCTAGGAAAAAAAAAATTTCAAACTATGACCAATCATTTACCGGAGTCAAAAAAAATAAATAAATAAATAAAAAACCAGTTTCATTGTTCAGTGGGACTGGATTGAATTCGCAGACCTTTCAAATCCATCAATTGATGGGCAAAGTTTATGCTTTTACATGTAATTAAAAATGATGCCAATCATCGTGGCATTTAAGGACAGATCTTAAATGTATGCCGCGATGTTAAATGCTGGCGAAATTTCGGGATTATGACTACTAATGTTCAATTTCGTAGACTTGTAGTTTTGAACCCAATCCAGAAGACAAAGGAACTCCTTTATCAAGTATTGGGAGTAATTTGTCTTCGGGGAGGTCTTTTTAATGAAACGAACCCTTCATTTGCGTCACACGGAGAGGATAACCACGAAACCTTCACACGGTTAGCCTGACAGCAAGGAGACTCCAATCCGTAATCCGTCTACCACTGACTATATTTTACGTCAGCACTGTAGTCCGTGCAAGCCGGATGTGAAATTCATATCGACCAGCCATCGCTAGATATCAAATCCGGTTCACCTCATTGGAAAGCGAACGCTCTATCCCCTGAGCCATCGCGACTCTTTGCTTGTTATGTTACAACTATTTAGAATATTGCGCAGAGCTAAAATTTCCGGATTGGCAGCTCTAAATTTGCATTTTGTTCGAAGATGCTGCTGTAGAAACTTTTCTCATGACAAAATTATCTTTCACCTCTATTTGTATTTCTAAGTTTAAAGAACCCTATAGTAAACCCTAAAGATTCAAATGTTATAAAAACAAAACATCGATACGTAAACAAATTATGGCAAGATTACTCAGGATTGGGTAAGTGGTGGAGTAATTATGAATTACTTATAATAATTAAATTAATTATATTTTAAAAATATTCCTTTCAGCACTTTACTGATAAAAAAAATGAATATTAATCATGAATGTAAGCTTATAAAGTATCTCTCTGGCTCTCCCTTACAAACAAATAAAATAAACTGTGTTTTTAAGTTCTAATTTTGAAAATTTGATTTCCGGAAACTTCTGTGATCAATGATTTTTTGAAACGTTTGGACCTTCTATCTCCGGAAACATCCGGATCACTGTTAGCGAAAAATCCGGATTTTTTCCCGGAGCACAATCAGCCCTTATTGTGTTAACACTAGAGGGAGAGGAGCTACCCTCCCTGAAATGCGCTATTCTTGTTTCCATAGCAGCAGACGGCCTTAGACTTTGTGGCGGGGGGAGTTCTTACCGCAGACACACTATACTTAAAATGATTCCTCCTATTACTATATTTAAAGATATGGTTGACTGAATGTAAACAATAACAAGCTTCCTAAAACCAGAAGAAATTTAGAAAACTTCCGGTGTATCCCTCCGCTTATGTTATGCTTACGAGGAGTTGTGTGAACAGGCCTAATATTCCAGGAAGTTTTATTATTGTGATTTGTGTTTAAATTAACGCGTAATTTTACCATTCATAAGAGTTTTCAGCAATTTATAAATTCTAACAGGTCGTCAGTCTAAAACAAACTAAACAAGATCAATATCTCAGTATAAACTGTAAGATTAGCCATGTTATTCTTTATTTGGCCATATTTGTGTAAAATTTTTTTTTTTTTTTTTTTTTTTTTTTAACGGTAGCGAACTAAAGCTGAAAATTTTAAAATGAAATAAAACTTTATAACTTTTTAAAGGGCCACGGTAGCCTAGTGGTTAGATCATCGTACTTCGGTTCTGGCGGAGCCGGGGTACGATTATTTTATTTAGACTTCACTGTTGACGTGAATATTTTATTAAATAATCGGCGTTGAATAAACGGTCCAATTCTGAGTTTACGACTATCAATATTCAACTTTGAGCCTTTTAATTTGAAGACAAAGGAACTCCAGGATCAAGCTAATCTTCGTGATGGTCTTTTTAACGAAACATTTGCGCTGTATGGAGAAGAAAATCAAGATAAATTCCCAGGGTTAGCCAAACCCCAAAGCTTTATTGGAAATCTAATACCATTTATTAAAACAGAAGCTTTTTTTTAAAATTGAAATTATATGGTATTCTTTTAAAAAAAAACATATGTTAACCACATCTAGTAGCTTTCTTTTGTTGCATTTTTTAAAATCAGATTTAATAATATCTTTGTCTTCTAGATGTGCCAAAGCTATCTCGATCTTCATATCTTATTGAGATGTTTTTTGCTGCCACTGCCTGGACTCTTTTATTGTTGCACGTTTTAAATCAACCACTAAATTCTAAAAAATCAAAATGTAAATCAATTACAATAGGACTTGGCTTGTGTTTCGGACTGTTAGCAGCTGCACTAGCAGATTTCCAAGTAAGTTCAAACAAAGATTTAGTAAATAAGAACTCAAAAAAAATATTGTTGTAAATATACACTTGATTGCTTATTTAGAAATTTAAATGCTTTTTAATCATGCATTGATTGATTCATATGAATGTTTTTTTTTAAAAAATAAAATTATGTTTTGTAAATTTGGCAATTGCTTAGAGACGCTCCAAAAAATTGTCCGACTAATAATTTAAATTTCGAAGTATACTCATTATTTGAATAAATATTGATATAGTGAAAAAAAACCCAGTAATTTCTGAAATGTTTTCTTTTACGTTCGTTATTTTATCAAAAAGATTTAGAATAATTTTTAACAGAATGGTCTTGGTTACATTCAGAATTCTCATTATATTTTTTCTTTCAGAAACTGATTATGTGGAACAGAAGCATTTTATTAATCCTCAGTGTGCCAAATCTGATTATCGGAGTTACAGTTGGACTTTTTCCTAATAGATTCCTAGATTGCTTAGACATGTGAAGCTGATAAAAAAATAATTATTATAAGCACGTCATTGTTTAATATGCATTCGAAAAAAGAAAAAAATTAAAGGCTGTGATATTGTTGGGATCAATTCAATAAGATCAAAATAAAAGTTTAATGTTACCTGTTTTTTTTATTTCATTGGTTTTATTGCTAACAATGATATTACGCCTTATGTTACTGTGAATGACCGAAATTGGTTGTTGCTGACTTCCAACGGCAAAGGTTCACATAATCGCTTTGGTAAATGGTCGAAATATATACTAGGTCTATTTAAGTGCTACTGCTCAGTATACTATACACTGATGCTTCTCCTAAACTATCCTCAGCAGATATTAAAATATCGAATAAATATAATAATATCAACGAATAAATTAATATCATTATAACAAATATTTCGGACATACACCGAAGTGACTATGTGTTCGTTGACATTTACCGGTCAAAGTCGACATTCTCTTGGTTTCGGTAGCATATATAGAGGAGTAAGGAATGATTACCTTTAATATAACTTATAGTGTACAAGGAAACCTATTTAGGCCATTTCTATTTACGCTATAATTTTGTTTTCTATTTGTACAATACTAACATTTTTAAGAAATCTTGTTTCTTAACTTTCTTGGACCAATTTTTCTTTGAAAACAAATAAAACAGAATAAAAAGCGCACTAAAATCTTTAGAAAACCAAATTAGTAACAAGTGAGAAAACTGCCTAGTTTAACACAATGGAGGAAAGAGACGAAGCCTCCTTAGAATTTGGAATGAATTTTAATTCGAAAATGACAATATCAAGTTAAGTTGATAGCATTTTATTTTATTTTATAACTGTCATTGAAGAGCCGACCCAATATTTTTGGGTTTATGACTACTAATGTTCAACTCTGTAGCCTAGTAATTTTGAAGCCAATCAAAAAGACAAAGGAACTCCTGGATCAAGTATTAGGAGAAATTTGCCTTTGTGGAGGACTTTTGATGGAACTAAAGTGCATTTGCATCACATGGAGAGGAACCCTCTAACTGCAAGGGACTTCTAATTCATGATCCGTCTACCACTGAGAATATTCTACATGAGAACTGTGGTTGGTGCAAGTCATTGCTGGGATTTGAACAGGGTTCACCTAATTGGAAGGCAAACGCTCTCTCCCTTGAGCTATCACGGCTCAGTTGATAACATTAGTCATCACAGGAGGGTTTTTTTATAAGTTTATCTTATCACAGTATAACTGAAAAAAAGGAAGCCAAGCATACCTTCTTATAATGACAGAGAGAACATGATTCAGAAATTTTCCCTTTAAATAAAAAACAGCAAGGTTAAGTCCAGTTCAATAGCTTCAATTGAAATTAAAAAAGTTAATTAAGAAATTTAATACTAGTAATAACTCAAAAATTCTGTACTCATCAAAACTAAAAAAAGTAGACTTAAGAGTTAAAAGAGGATCTATTTGGAAGCACTGAGAAACAAGTGAAATGATTAAGTTAAAGCACATATATATATTTATTCAACATGTAATGAACTATATTACAATATTTCCTACAAATATACAAGACGCAGTATCAATAATTGAAGAAAAAAAAGAGGAACTTTAGGTGTCTTTAGCATCTTGCTTTATCTTGTAATCTTTCAATGCAGCCTTTATTGCATCTTCAGCAAGCACTAAAATAATTAAAATTTTCAAAACTGATAAGTGAAAATGGCTTCATATACATTATACAGAACAAGGGTAGAAATGAAGAAAATATAGTCATTAGCCCGAAGGAACAATAAGTTAAAAATATTACTGGTTCACATACATTTTAAATTAAAGTTCCGTTCCAGTTCATTTAAAGTTAAATTACATTTCCTGGTCTGTAGGACCATGAATGATTATTTCATGGTGGCCAAATTTTAGTGGTCCGGGGCCAATGGATCATTGTTAATTTTGAGCTTTGTAGGGTGCTCTATAATGACCTATCGTATAAGGAAATATTACATTCATATTTAAATTGAGTTTTTCTTTATTTTTTTTAATTTATAAACCATGATCACTTACTATTTAATTCTCCAAGAGCAATGACAAGATTAAAACAATTTATTTGGTTAGCAAAGAGAGGAATGCATGCAGCTCTTAAATGAGCTGCTTTTAAGTATCATCTTTTAATATACATATTGTTAGATAAGTGTTATTTCTTTTTCGTCTTTATGGATGGTTAACAGTATAAAGCTGAATGTTAGATGGTGCTAATGAGGTAAAAAAAAAAAAAAAAGATGGCTTGATGGCTTCCTGAAAATTAATTTTTAGACCAAAATTTAAAGAGTAAATGTTATTATTGCAAAATTTTTTAAGAGTTTATTAAAATATTACAGAGTTATTCCTTTAGACAGTACTGCATTGTTGACTTTTTAAACATTTAGAATGATATTAAGTAGAAAACAAAATAACAACATAAAGATGTAATTCAATGTTGAAACAAATAAATAGCCAAAATGAGCAATAACACTCTAAAGATAGTAACTTGTTTAATTTATTTATTCGTTTATAATGTTTTATGCCCAATTTAAGCACAGAAAACTTTAATGAATGTGATGTTGGGTGAAAACTTATATCCTAATCTTTATATAATTTTTTTTTTATTTTCTATATTTTTTTTAAATAAAATAGAGAACTTGTTCACACTTTGCCTTTTAAACACAACATTGGCAGATGGATATGCCATCAGTTTTCAAAGATTAGTATATTTACACTCAGTAAACCATCCACAGACTTTAACATAAACTTTAACATTGGAGTTTTAAAATTACTTTTGTGCTTTTTTATATAAATATTTATATGTGATCCCTGATCTGGGTCAGGATTTTAAACTGGAAAAAAAAATATTCCGTCTAGAACACTAAAAAATTGAAAGAAAAAAAGATCAAATGGAAGATGTTAAAAATGTTCAATATGATTGTTTAGCAATAAACCCTGTGGCAGAATTTGTTCGAGCTATCTGCAAGAATTCTCTCTAGTACTAATACCTTTCTAAGAGACATTTTTAGTAATAGCAAATATATATGTTACTAATTTAAAGTAGCAGAANAAAAAAAAAAAAAAAAAAAAAAAAAAAAAAAAAAAAAAAAAAAAAAAAAAAAAAAGCTTTCACGTATAGAACAGAACAGTATACATTTTTAAAAAAAAATTATAAATGTAAGAATTTTTTTTTAAAAATCAAAATATAAAAGAATAAATATTCTAATATTATTGACAATATTCTCCTACTTTAAAAAATATTGGTAAAGTTAACCTTTTCTAAATTTTTGTTATTTGGAATTACTTTTTATAATATCACTCTGAAATTTTAGCTAAAGCCAATCATTGCGAATTTTTTTTGTTCTCAAAAGAAAGTTGGGAATAAAAAAAAAAACAAAAAAACCAAACGTTTTTTTCCACCTCTGATATGCGAGAAAGGCATTTTTTGAATATAATTCTGAAGAAAGGGGGAAAAATATGACAAGAAATTCTGCAGATAAGAAATCTCAAACCTCTTTGCTCCCCAAATAAAAAAACTTTTTGCAAGAATTTTTTAATGCTCGGTGACAACGTTGCCAAGTCGCCACGGGGGCAATATGTTTTATGAAAATGTTTTAGTATAAAAGGTTTTTCACATCTTGTATTTTACTAAAATCTTTGTTGATTGTGTACTTAGGTACCCAATTTTCTAAATCATTGCTACTGGCAGACATTATCTTAGTAAATTTTACATAAAAGCAAAAAGCTATTAAGTTATTTTCCATTTCATATTATAAACTGGCTTCCCTGGCAACAGGAATCCTCTAACATTGTAGCGGGAAATGCAGAATACCAGAGCATTTGCAGATTATTATTCATCATTATCACAATACCTGAAGATTTTTTTTCGTTGTAGATTTAAAAAAAAAAAAACATGCCTGAAATCTAATTAGAAGACAAACAATAAAAATCAAAAACTTACTCAATTACAATTTGTCCTTAACAAAGTTTGTTTAACAATACCCAGATATATAAGAAAATGAAGACTTGAAATTTAGAAATAATTGATTTTAATTATGTAATTTTTTTTAAAAAATAAAATAAATGCCAAGAAAAATTTAAAATATAATTTCTTAATTATTTATATACTGCATAGGATCGTATTAATTTATTTTAAATCTTCAGCAACACATTTTCGTGTATAATTATTATCTATATATATTCTAATTATGCTGTATACATGTTAGATTAAGCTTAGTTCTTACAATAATTGTCTTCGTCTGATAGTGTCAGACATATTTGAATTTTTGAAGATGGTGCTATTAGTACTAGTTCCAATAAATTAAGCTTTTTTTGAATAGTTTGTCTAATGAAAGAACTCCCTCCACACGAAGTCTAAGGTCATTTGTTGGTATGAAAACAGGAAATTGGGCATTTCAACGAGGGGAGCTTTTTTCTCCCCTGATTCCGTATCTCTCGCTGACCCGAGTCAAAGCCTATCTTAAATAATAACCCAACATCCCTATTTGAAATATTTAAACTTCGTAACCATAGTAACTGCCACCACTCCAGACAAATGGCAAGGGAAATTCTTAGCATAGACAAACTATGCTCCTAATTATTATTAAATAAATAAATAACAAAACAAACTAATTCTTGAAATATATTTAAGAACACACTACAAAATCTAACAGTAAAAAAAAATGAGCTAAAAAGTTATGCGTAATTTCATGAGGGGAAAAACTAGTTTATTTACTGCAATATTAGTTGAATGTCAACAAATTAATTCAAAGAAATTATTGAATAAATCAAAGATTTCACAAGATGCATATCGGCGGCGTAGTTAACTTCACTTTTGAAACAAAAAATTATTAATCATATTTTAAATTTAGCAGTAAGTAACCAATTAAAATGGAAAAAAAAGAAGAAAAAGAAATGGATTTTTACTTAAAAAAAAAATTATAATGATACTCAAAAATGATTTTTTTTCAGGATGACAATTAAGGTAACAAGTTATAACTGTTGTTCCTAAAATTGCTATAGTTGCTGTTTTAGGTTAGATTTTCATTAAAATTTACCCAGAATGAATGAATGAATGAATGATTTACCCATTTCGAGATAATTTAAAGTTTAAATTTTAAACACTGTTTGATAAGCTGGTTATCAAATTTACTCAAGCAGAGCACATTTTATTTTTTTATAAATTTTCTTAAGAATTGGGAAGAATACAAATTTTAGTTTTTAATGCATGAAAACGATGCCTTTTAAGCTTTAAAAACTAATAGTTAAGTAGGTACTACAGAAAAATTATTATTAAATAATATTATTCTCAAAATTAATAACTATTTTATTGATTCTTTTTATTTATTTATTTTTTAAAAAGTAAAAAAAAAAAAAAATCTAAATTACTTAATCATAAGCATGAGATTTATTTCAAAATAATTATATTATTTTTATAACATATTTATCTCAGAATTTTGTCGATGTAGAACAACATAAGAAAATTTTCTTAAAAAGATACTAGCCTTATTCCTAAAAGACTTAGTTGAATTAAGCATACAATTAATGTCTTGTTTACCAATGCATTAAACAGAAATAATCTTTCATCTTTGAAACAATAACAACAACAGACTATACTTAACAACAACAGACTATACATAACATCAAGGTTTTTTCAGAATTAATAAAAATTAAAGGATATAAATGAATTTTTACAATTAAAGAATTTATTTAGTTAGGTGTCTAAAGTCACTTTTTTTTTGTTTCATGTCACAATACAGACAAGACTGAGACAATTTTGTATAATAATACTAGGTCCAAAAAAATAAATAAATTAAAAAGCATGCTTGTTTTTTCAATCCATAATACAACAGCATCTGTGATACAATATCAAATGAGTATTCTATAAAATTCTATAAAATTGTACCAATATTTTCCCCCGTATTTGCTATTAAATATATCTTATATATATTGAGCTTTTAAGTTTCTGTTACTTTTTGAGCACATAAAACCTTTATAAAATAAATAACATAACTACACACAATATTTGAATATGTACGAAGCATAAAATTATGCTTTAACATTATCGCCAACACAAACAGGAAAAAATCCAGTAGATTTTACAAGATAACACAAATTTTAATTGCTGGAAAAAAATATATTAAATATTTCACACATAGCGAATTTTAGGGATTTTTATAGTCATCAAAATAGAAAAACTGCAATATTTTCCAGTTATGATTTCACATTAAATTATTTTAAAATGTTATTCATTATGTTTATTCATAATTTTGAATAGTAATAGGTATTTAATCCATCAAAGATAGTTAATTGAATTTTATAAATGTGACTTGCTTTATTATGTATTAGTGACACTGATTTAAATGTTCAAGAAAGCAATAATCTGCACAAAAATTCTATTTCAATATGAATTTTTTACAGAAACTTTTAAAATTTTAGGGAATTTTCTAAAATTTACAAAAACCTGGAGAATTTGTATTCAACCAGTAGACCAGGAGAAACTTGCAAAATCCAGTAGTCTACTGGAAAATCTAGTTGAGCTGGCAGCCATGCTTTAAATTTACTGTTAAGTTTGACATACAATATGATAATAGCATATAATATGATTAAGAAATATATTATCTACAGTTTTTTTCCCATCTGATAACTATATTTGAAAATAATCCTAGTAAAGGTTTACCATTATATAACTCCAACAATTATTAGTATGGCATCATTTCAAAAAAAAAAAAAACTTTTAAATTTCTTCTACTTTCACAAATTCTTTTTAAAGAGTGTTAATGTTGATTATTTATCGAAATTCACAATTCATTAGGATTGGTAGTAATATTGTTTTTCCTAGTTCATCAATCTAAGAAAGGAAAATGAAAAAATGTCTATTTGAAAAATCAAACAATATGTTATGTAATTTTTCTGCTTTATTCGATATTGTTTGATGAAAAAGCACTCAAACACTATCTTTGATGTGAAAATAATGTTTAAAAATTAGAAATAGTCTCTCTGCCAAAAATATATTGGAAATATGTAATAGAACCTATATAACATAAGTATAAAAATTAGAACAAAGGTACTTATATTAAAGCAGGTAAAAAATAAACAAATAAGTAAGAATAATGAACTTACTGGAGCAGTGAAGTTTCACAGGAGGTAAGCATAATTCTTTAGCAATATCTGAATTTTTGATCCCGAGAGCATCATTTACCTATATTTTAATAGATAAATAAATATAAATTATTTTACATCATAAATAATAAATCTTGTGCAATACATTTTCCTACCTTAATTCAATCAATTTTTAATCACCATACACAATATTTAATAATTAAAAAGTACACTAGTTTTATTTTATTCTAAAATCTACAACATCTGATGTATCAATTTACCCTACATTAAATTATTTAGATTATTTTTAATATTGTTTTATTTAAACAAATTTACTTCAATATGTGTAAAATCTATCAGAATTATACTTGCAATAGATTTTAAAAATCTAACATTATGATATCAAGGAAATTACAAAGATAATTACAAACTTTATACAAAATAAGATAAAATTGCATAAATTTTTCTGGAAGTTATTGATTGCTCTGTGACAATTATTTAATTATGAGCTTTAAGTTTAACAAGAGTTTAAGTGAAAACAGATTTAAATTAGTTTACGTGATAACAGCTTGTAAGAGCAGAGTGGGCAAGGTTTAGGACAGAATGGATTAATGCACGGTTTAAACCGTCCTGTCCAAAACCCTTTTGTTCAAATGCTCCAAGATCTTTTTGTTCAAATTATGTCAAAATTTTAAAACAATATTGTGAAAAATAAAAGGATAATTTTTAAACAAGGAACAAAATGAAGACAAGTTTATGTTTTTTGAAATATNCATAAAATTATGCTTTAACATTATCGCCAACACAAACAGGAAAAAATCCAGTAGATTTTACAAGATAACACAAATTTTAATTGCTGGAAAAAAATATATTAAATATTTCACACATAGCGAATTTTAGGGATTTTTATAGTCATCAAAATAGAAAAACTGCAATATTTTCCAGTTATGATTTCACATTAAATTATTTTAAAATGTTATTCATTATGTTTATTCATAATTTTGAATAGTAATAGGTATTTAATCCATCAAAGATAGTTAATTGAATTTTATAAATGTGACTTGCTTTATTATGTATTAGTGACACTGATTTAAATGTTCAAGAAAGCAATAATCTGCACAAAAATTCTATTTCAATATGAATTTTTTACAGAAACTTTTAAAATTTTAGGGAATTTTCTAAAATTTACAAAAACCTGGAGAATTTGTATTCAACCAGTAGACCAGGAGAAACTTGCAAAATCCAGTAGTCTACTGGAAAATCTAGTTGAGCTGGCAGCCATGCTTTAAATTTACTGTTAAGTTTGACATACAATATGATAATAGCATATAATATGATTAAGAAATATATTATCTACAGTTTTTTTCCCATCTGATAACTATATTTGAAAATAATCCTAGTAAAGGTTTACCATTATATAACTCCAACAATTATTAGTATGGCATCATTTAAAAAAAAAAAAAAACTTTTAAATTTCTTCTACTTTCACAAATTCTTTTTAAAGAGTGTTAATGTTGATTATTTATCGAAATTCACAATTCATTAGGATTGGTAGTAATATTGTTTTTCCTAGTTCATCAATCTAAGAAAGGAAAATGAAAAAATGTCTATTTGAAAAATCAAACAATATGTTATGTAATTTTTCTGCTTTATTCGATATTGTTTGATGAAAAAGCACTCAAACACTATCTTTGATGTGAAAATAATGTTTAAAAATTAGAAATAGTCTCTCTGCCAAAAATATATTGGAAATATGTAATAGAACCTATATAACATAAGTATAAAAATTAGAACAAAGGTACTTATATTAAAGCAAGTAAAAAAAATAAACTAATAAATAATAATAATGAACTTACTGGAGCAGTGAAGTTTCACAGGAGGTAAGCATAATTCCTTAGCAATATCTGAATTTTTGATCCCGAGAGCATCATTTACCTATATTTTAATCGATAAATAAATATAAATTATTTTACATCATAAATAATAAATCTTCTTATAAAAACACAAAATTACTTAATATTAAAATAAAATATAATATAAAAAAATATATAATTGTGTGTTTGCAGAGCAGCATTTCTTCGGGGGACTAATATATAATTTATTATGTTATATTTTATTTTAATATTAAGTAATTTTGTGTTTTTATAATTTAATAAATACAAATTTGGTTATAGCTGCATCATGCGCTTTTCCAATTTGAGTTTATGAAGTTAATGTTCAATGTTATTTTACCGTTCATTTTTCAATATTTATTAGAAATTTGTGTTTGGATAATAAATCTTGTGCAATACATTTTTCTACCTTAATTCAATCAATTTTTAATCACCATATACAATATTTAATAATTAAAAAGTACTCTAGTTTTATTTCATTCTAAAATCTACAACATCTGATGTATCAATTTACCCTATATTAAATTATTTAGATTATTTTTAATATTGTTTTATTTAAACAAATTTATTTCAATATGTGTAGAATCTATCTGAAATATACATGTAATAGATTTCAAAAACCTAACATTATAATATCAGGGAAATTACAGCAAAGATAATTACAAACTTTATACAAAATAAGATAAAATTGCATAAATTTTTCTAGAAGTTGTTGATTATTACGCGACAATTATTAATTAATATAAATGTCATGCGCTTTAAGTTTAACAAGAGTTTAAGTAAAAACAGATTTAAATTAGTTTACCTGATAACAGCTTGTTAAGAGCAGAGTGGGCAAGGTTTAGGACAGAATGGATTAATACACGGTTTAAAACGTCCTGTCCAAAATCCTTTTGTTCAAATTCTCCAAGATCTTTTTGTTCAAATTATGTCAAAATTTTAAAAAAATATTGTGAAAAATAAAAGGTTAATTTTTGAAAAAGGAACAAAATGAAGATATTGAAAAAGTTTATTATTATCTTTACTATTGCATAATTTATCCTTATGCAAAAACATATTTAAAGGATAAGGTATTCACCTCTGTTATCAGTGCAGCTTCAATAGTTATTAATCTTTTTCTATTATATTATTTTACTTTAATAATTTAAAGTAAAAAAGTAAAAGTAAACTAAAGTAAAAGATCAAATATTTATTAATACATGTAATTATTATGTGAACAATGGTTACACACATATAGAATTTTTACCTTTAAAAAATGTTCAAGATTTTGGACACTTTAAGAGATTTTAAAACAGTTTGAGTCAGTTTAAGACAGTAAAACCCTTGTGCCATGTCCAAAACCCCAACCCTGGTTAAGAGGCTTCTCTTCTCTCAACCGAATTCAACTGTAGAAAGGGTAATGACAGAGGATGAAAATTTCAAATATGCTTTTAATCTTCTTTATTTAATTTGCACAAATAAACTCATTATGGATATTTACTCTTTTTAATGCTATATTACGATACATGTAAAATGCAAGGCTGTTAACCAAAATGGAATTTGAGATAAAAAGCATGTGCAAGGTTACCACTCAAATCTGGAAGAAAAAAAACTATTTTTTCCCTGTACATATTATACACAAATTAAGCGGAAACACAACAATTATTGTGTTCTTTTGTGAGCTATATTGGGCAAAACTATATTTATCATTTTTAATTGCTGGAAAAACTCAAAGAAAGAAAAAGGAACAGCCTACCATAGGTACTAAAATAATGCTATAGTAAATGAAATAATTTAGTATAGCTGAAATATCATCCTTAAACATCCCATAGATTACGCCTTAAGTGGTCACCCTTTTTTAAAGACTAAAATAAGAAACAAAATTTTCTGTATTCTTCCTGTTTCACAAAGAAACAAAAAATTCCCTGCATTTTAGGTGATTTTTAAATTCCCCATATTTTCTAGGTTTTCCCTGTGGAGTAGCAACCACTGATGTGTTATTTAGACTTCTCTATTAATTTCTTCTGATAGAAGTAAACAATCAGCAGTTTTTGAAAGGACGTTAAATCGAATACAGTTGTCTGTTTTTAGATTTTTGATAAGTATCTTTGCTTTTAAGCAACTAAAAGAATTTTTAAGCATCAAATAAAAAAAAGCACAAAATAAAACCATTCCTATAATGGAATAATACAATAGGTTTTAAGTCAAAATTGTATAGTTTGTATGGATAATAATCACTGCCTTCAAGTGCTTATGCTAATTAACAGAAATAATATATGCCCCGCGGTAGAACCACGGTGACATTGTCGTAGAATGCTATTGAGTTCTTGCAAAAAGAACAATTTCACTTTTCTTTTCGACAATTATTTACACATAATATTTGAATTGTGCATTTAAATAATCACTTTTTGGCACGCTCAATTTACGCCTATAGTATTGTAAATGGGCGTAATGTTTTGATTATATTTTCTGCAGTTATTGATTTTCACATGGCTTTTAAACATCACGATATATTTCACACAATATGGAAAATTCGAACCTTGCATTTGAGTATTTACTTTTTAAGGCTATAATTCTTTCGAATTTTTGGCTGTTATTGCTATTGATTTCTCCATAGTTTTTAAATCCGATATTTTTTATTACAACAACCGATTAAATTGAAACAAAACAGGCGTTTGAGGAGTCTGATTTGCGTGATTTCATCGGCGATCTTTTTTTGGCTATTACTACTACAGATTTCAAGATTTTCAAAAAACGCACAAATAATTTGTGCATCCCCCCAACAAAATGAGAGAATATCATCCATAATATCAAAATTAAAAATTATTACATGTTTAATTAAAAAAAAATTTATACAGTTTTTTTTTTGTAAACACAGCCTATTTGTCATTTTAAATTAGTAACATATATATTTGTTATAATTAAAATTATTTTGCAGAAAGATATTTGTGCTAGACAGTTTAGTTGCAGATAGCTCGAAAAACTTCTGCTACAGAGGATATATGTAAATCTTAAAACTGATTGAATGCAAAGCAAATATTTCAAAAAAGTGGTACAAATGAATAAACAGTAATTTGTAATACTTTTTTTGTTTTTAAAAACATAATTCAGAATTTTTTTTATTTATTAATATATTTTAACATAATATATTATTATTTTTTAAAAAAAATATGAAATCAAAAATATGAATGGATAACACTTTGTCACTCCAGCAACTTTTATTTTTATTTTCAAAATAGATTAAAATGATTTTGAATCTAAGAAAGCTCAAGTGATATATAAGAAAAAATAAACAAAAGAAATATTTATTAAAGAAAGTATACCGACAACGGAACCATTTAGGAAAAATGTTGTACATAAGTCATAAACTTACATTTTTTCCTTTCACCCATTCAGTAGCAAGGGAGCTTGATGCAATAGCAGCACCACAACCAAAGGTCTTGAATTTGGCATCAACAATCTTTCCATTTTCGTCAACTTTTATCTAAAAACAATACAAAATAAAAAACTCTCAATATCAATTTGAAACATCTTATTTATGACAATATTTTACCAAATTTAAAAATAATAATAATTTTCCAATTAAACTGAAGAAAAAAAATTCTCAAAATTCATTAAAATTTGTAATTTTTTTAAAAGAAAAAACCCAATTTGCAAGGGTTTTAGGTAGCTATTGCTTAATTGAAATTGATTAGTTTTAATCATTTAAATTTTTAACCAACTTGAGTAAAAAAAAAAAAAAATTGCAGAAAAAATTTAAGACTTGAACACAGATGGAAAAAATTAAAAACTTATTTAAAAATGTAATAAAGTAGCCAGTGCTTTCTTGTACTGCTCTCTAGAATAAAAAATTCAAATTCAAAGAATCTAGATATTTTTGCTTAAAACTATTAAAATATTCTAGTGGTTTCAGACATAATAAAATACAACAATTAACCTTTCAATATTAGTACCACTTTTCAAATTTTTAAAGGTGCATACAATGATAAAAAATTGTTTAAAATAAACAAAAAAATTAATGACAAAAAAAGCATAAAATTGATGGAAAAAATATGGGATTTCAACCAAAAATCACTGGAGTACACCATTCCCCAAGTTAAAATTTTTGATGGTACATGTTGGTTTCAGTGCGTTCATGATGGTCTAACAACAATTGATGGTCACCATCATCCAAAATTTTCCATTATACACTCATGGCTTTTGATATGCAACAAACTTCCATCACCCTATTATGAAAGATGCTACTTAAATTTGACGATGGTAAACCATCGAAAAGATTGATTCTCAGGGACCAAGAATCCATGATGATCCCTGATGGTTTAATGGAATTTCTCGTTGGTTCACAGGAATATATCATCAAAACAATATATGTGTATATATATATACACACACATATATATATATTTATGTTGGACCATCATAATTCAATCCGAAACCGTACATTAGGACGAGGGTGGTTGATGATCGTTCCAACATTTGATTTCTAAGAAAATATGAGGGAATTTCTGATGGTTCAACATAAACAAGCCATTAAAACAAGTTGCTATTCTTATGTTGGACCATCATAAATCGTTCCGAGTTCCTACATTGGGGTGATGGTTACATTCGTTGGCTACTGTAAAAAAATATAATGGTTCAATATATAATTAGTGATGGTTATCATCAACATTATGTTGGTGTATTAAGGGAAAACCATCAAAAATTTTGAATTCAGTACCCTCTTGACATTTATTCAACGCAAGTAGTATTTGAAGGCATTTATGAGGTTGAAGTATCAGCTCAAAGATGCATCAAGATAAGAGTGAGAAGCTTCAAATCTAATGGGGGGGGGGGGGGATATATGCACTGGAAACTTTAAGTCTTGCTTCTATGCAGTGACCTTGATTATTGAAAACTGAATTTATTCAACATGATAAATGGGAACAAAACCTTGATTACCAGTCTATATGTTGACCTCTGAAATAAGTGTAATTTGTGGAGGGGCATTATTGAATGCTATTTGAAACCCTTTACAAGTTGACTAGAACAAAACCTTAATCACAGATTTACGTTCAGTTCAACAAAATATACTGCATCCCAAGTAAAACCTAATTTTAATAGAAATGAACACCAACTTTCAAATGTAATAATATCAAATATTTTTCTCAGCATTAGCTTTGTTTTTAAAATATAATAAAAATACATTTTATTGAGCATTTTTATTTCTAAAACAATATTCAAACATGCTTATTAATGAAATATATACTAATTTTAGACTATTCCCACTTTGAGGTTAAGTGAGCACATCAAAACATGTTCTTTTGAATGCAATACTATAAGAAAACAATATAGATAAGCTTCATATTTAATCTATATGAATTCAACATATAAAAAATGCATTAAAATTTTCAGTAAAATAAACTTAATAGTTAAGACTTTAAAAAAAAGCTTGATTTTATAGGTTTGTAACAGGGTTGGCAGGTTTTTGACATGTGACAGTTTTTGACAGTTTAAACCATGGTTTAAACCGTCACGTCAAAAACCTCACTGTCAAAAATGTCGAAAATGTCAAAAACCTATATTCATATGTGAAATTTAATTAATNTCATTATTATTTCAACATTTGATTTCTAAGAAGCTAGGAGGGAATTTCTGATGGTTGAACATAAACAAGCCATCAAAACAAGTTGCTATTCTTATGTTGGACCATCATAAATCAGTCTGAGTTCCTACATTGGGGTGATGGTTATCCTCAACATTATGTTGGTCCATTAATGGAAAACCATCAAAAATTTTGAATTTAGTACCCTCTTGACATTTATTCAACGCAAGTAGTATTTGAAGGCATTTATGAGCTTTAAGTATCAGCTCAAAGATGTATCAAGATAAGAGTGAGAAGCTTCAAATCTAATGAAGGGGGGGGGGAGAATATATGCACTGGAAACTTTAAGTCTTGCTTCTATGCAGTGACCTTGATTATTGAAAACTGAATTTATTCAACATGATAAATGGGAACAAAACCTTGATTACCAGTCTATATGTTGACCTCTGAAATAAGTGTAATTTGTGGAGGGGCATTATTGAATGCTATTTGAAACCCTTTACAAGTTGACTAGAACAAAACCTTAATCACAGATTTACGTTCAGTTCAACAAAATATACTGCATCCCAAGTAAAACCTAATTTTAATAGAAATGAACACCAACTTTCAAATGTAATAATATCAAATATTTTTCTCAGCATTAGCTTTGTTTTTTAAAATATAATAAAAATAAATTTTATTGAACATTTTTATTTCTAAAACAATATTCAAACATGCTTATTAATGAAATATATAATTTTAGACTATCCCCACTTCGAGGTTAAGTGGGCACATCAAAACATGTTCTTTTGAATGCAATACTATAAGAAAACAATATAACAACATAGATAAGCTTCATATTTAATCTATATGAATTCAACATATAAAAAATGCATCAAAATTTTCAGTAAAATAAATTTAATAGTTTAGTTTTAGAGCCTTCTTTAAAAAAAAAAGGTCGATTTTATAGGTTTGTAAGTTTAATAGATTTGTCGTGATTGGTTAATGTTCAGGAGACTAATCATTAGAATTTATATTATTTTGATTTATTAATATAAAAAATATTAAAGTATAAAGGCGAATATAAATCAGCACAGAGCATCGTACAACAGAGACAGTTTCGATTGTTCTGGCGAATGAAAAGTGAGAGTTCAAATTCTTGATCATAACTGTTACGGTTACGATTAAGTTGAGTTGCCCCAGATTTTAAAATGTTAAGTTTTCTACTTGCATACATGCTTCTTTTGTATTGATAATTTAAAAAATTATTTATAATAAACTGACATGCATTACTAACAAAATATCCATATTGGTGTTCTTAAGCTTATCCATTTGATATTAAATTTATATAAAAAATTGTAATTATTCTTGTAGATAACATTTAAGATATAGAATTTGCTAACTAGAATTTCAAAATCTCATAAAAAAGAATTCATTACTTTTATATATGTATTGATAGGTGCATAATAGGAAATATATGAATATTATGATATATGTAAGAATAACACAATATAAAAAATGACAAACAAAATACAATGTCTCATCCCCTTTAAAAGATGATTACCTGTTTAGGTTGACCACTGGGACAATGCACCGCAAGTGGTCAACTTATGCAGGTTTCCCTGTATTAGAAATCTATACTAAAAGTTTGAGAGAAGTCTAAAATATTACCTGCAACTTCATAACATCACCACAGGCAGGAGCACCAACTAAACCTGTCCCAACTTGTTTATCGTCTTTGTCCAAGGATCCAACATTTCTGGGATTTTCATAATGATCAACAACCTACATTAAAATCTTATTCAGAATACATGGAAAAATAAAATTTCATAGCGCACACAGAGAAATTTTAAAAAAGGGATATTTCCAAATCATGATCTGTTTAGCCAGCTATAATTGCCAAAGTGCCAAAAGGATTTTGAATTTGCAAATAAATTTTTTAAAGACATGAAGTGCTTGGCACAGGGGTAGCTATAAGATATACCTTTTGAGTTGGTCCCCTTCCGCGATGTTTTATTCTGCAACAGATTATAAGATAGAAATCCTCACCTTAAAATTTTTTATTTCACTCGAAAAATAAGAATATGTGTTATAAACATAGTTGCTAACATGGATAAGAAAATATCCAGTAGATTTCACAAAATAATATAAATTTCATGATAATTGCTGCATAATGTACTAAATATTTCAAACATAGGAAGCTTTCATAGTCATCAAAATAGAAAAACTGTAATATTTTTCCAGTTATAATTGACATTAAACATACTTGAAATGTTATGTATTACATATACTCATAATTTTGAATTAAAGGCATTTAATTCATCAAAAACACTTAAAAGATTTTTTAAAAATAAATTTTAAAAGAGAGTTCTTAATAAAAATAAACTAAACATTTCATAACAATAAAAGTATTGAACTGATTTCTATAAATGAGGTTTGCTTCATTATGCATTAGTAATAATTTAAATATTCAAGCAAGCAATTATCTGTAAAAAAATTCTATTTTAATAGGGATTTTTTTAGGAAATTTACTTAATTTTAGGGAATTTTCTAAACCAGGAGAATTTTAATTAAACCAATAGATCAAGTGAAACTGGAAAAATACAGTAGAGTAGGCAGCTATGTACAAGGATACAGTATAACATAAGGTCAATCTAAAAAGGAATTATAAAGGACTAATCACAAATATCTATACTCAAAACACGATCCAAAGTTACTTAAATGTACCTTCATAATTCTAAACTTTAAAAACAATTCTTTCACAAAATCCAATATTTTTCTATAATGAAATCTTAAGTATTCCTATAAAATTTGGCTTGTGGAAAATACCAATTATCTTAACGATTATTAAACGTCTAATCATTTACCTTGTATATAACTTATTATTTGAAAAGGATGTGTTAACTTCCCAGACAATCAAGCAGTAAAATTTTGTGTGACGTATGCTATGCTGCAGAATTTCTGATGAAGTCAAACTTAATGGTTGAGGCGTATATCAGCGAAATTACATTAATTGTGTAGTCAATTTTTTATAGCTGTGCGGTGTAATTATTGAAAATGCAAGAATTTAAAGGAAAGTGAGTAACTTCAATGTATTAATTATTTTATTCTTTTTTATGTCTGTTTGGTGCCATTAAATGGCTTTATGTTTATATATTGCAATATTTTTTTATAAAACTTATAATAGAGACACATCAAAACATGTTAGGCTAGTAAAATAATAGTCTGGTAATATTTTGACATGCCATCTACCTGTGTAATTTTTTTTTAATAGTTGATTTTAAGTTTTGCTCTCTTAGTGCCACTCTACACCAATATTTTCAAAAAGTTAAGTACCATTGCCCGCTATATATTTGGTCATCATATATTCGCCATTTTCATTTAATTTTCTTGGCGACAAACGTCAATGCGGAGTTGGCAATATTTTGCAAATATACTAGGATTTTACCAGGATAATCACCAAATCCTAGCCAATAAATTAAAAAATAAACATCACAGAAGAGGACCAACTTAAAGGATATAACTCGTAGCTGCCCCCTAGCAGGCCTCTACATGATTTTAAAATTCAAGCTTGAAATCAATTTGACACCTTGGGATTGTATTTGGCAAGCCAAATCATGATAGGAAAATATCCCCAATCAAATCATAATTGGTAGTGACCAACAGGTAAACCTCTGCATATTTTTTAAAGGGTATATTTCGATATCACGATCTGGTGCATCAACTGCAACCATCAAATTAGATTTTAAACTTGTAATTTAAAAAAAATCAGAAACATGAAGAGGTTTGAGGTTGGTCGAGATTTTTTAAAAAAAAAAATTATTGCAAGTTAAATATTTATTAGGCGCCATGACGAATGTAGTCGGAACTCATTGTTTCAGTTCATTCATAAAAAAAAGTTATTGATAGATGATTTAGATAATTTGCGGAAATTTCAAAATTCAGCATTACTGCGTACTAGTTCACTCTCACATTTTGAAATCATATAAGTTTAATTTACCTTGTGATGGTATGCTGCTTTAGATGCAGAATATAAAGCGGGAGAATGATTTCTCGTAATTGGACTTAAGCTTCTGGAAACCGAACGTAAGAGAGACATATCAAATTATTTTAATTCTAACCAATTTTCTCAGATTCTTTTCAGTTACAAAATCACAATAAACATGCCGGTTACGTAATGAGAAGTCAAAGTAGAGGTAGCTAGAGCCCTGAATTAGAGGTAACAATTTTTATTTTTCGGACTGAGCTCCATGAAAGGAAAAAATACCAATATGGATAAAAATCATATAATTTATTTAAAGAAAAATTTTGTGATTTATAAATATATAAAAATCAGTAAATTTAATAAGACTTGCACAAAAGTTGAAGTAATAAAAACGTAGATGCGGAAAGTCCCACAGCAAACGGTTAGTAACTATAACTGCGAACTGAATAAAAACACAGACGGAGACGACTGTTGATTAATTTGTCACGTTGGTAGTTTTGTTTCAAATCAAATTAAACTTACAATGAAGCCTCTTATGCTTCATGGCCACGAAAGAGCCATCACTCAAATCAAATACAGCAGAGAAGGTGATCTGTTGTTTTCTTGTTCCAAAGATCCAACACCGAATGTATGGTACTCTATCAACGGTGAGCGACTGGGTACTTTCGATGGCCATAACGGAGCAGTTTGGTGCATCGATGTCAACTGGGACTCAACCAAAGTTGTAACTGGTGCAGCTGATGCTAAATGTGGATTCTGGGATCTAGAAACTGGTGCTTGTTTGACGATGATTGACACCGACACATCGGTTCGTACTTGCGGTTTCTCCTACTCCGGAAAGTTGTTGATGTATTCCACAGACAAATCAATGGGTAAACAATGTGAAATTAAAGTCGTCGATAGTCTGGATCCTTCTCAACAGATCTTCTCAATTCCAGTTCCAGGACCCAAAGTTACCAGCGCTGTTTGGGGTCCCTTAGATGAATATTTACTGACAGGACTGGACAATGGCGCTTTAGTCAAATGGGACATCAAGTCCTTGCAGAAGTTGGCTTCAAAACACGAACACAGGGATGTTATTAATGACATTCAGTACTACAAAGATCAAACAATGTTCATCACTGCGTCTAAAGATCATACTGCTAAGCTGTTTGATACTAAGACTATGGATTTGATGAAAGTATACAAGACGGAACGTCCGGTCAATTCTGCTGCTATTTCACCGATTAGAGATCATGTTGTGTTGGGTGGTGGTCAAGAGGCCATGGATGTGACGACCACGTCCGCTAGAGTAGGCAAATTCGATGCCCGTTTCTTTCACTTAGTGTTTGAAGAAGAGTTTGCTAGGGTTAAAGATCATTTCGGTCCAATTAACAGTGTGGCCTTCCATCCGGACGGCAAGAGCTATAGTAGTGGTGGTGAAGATGGTTATGTCAGAGTTCACGTGTTTGATCCTCCTTATTTTGACTTTGATTTTGAATATTAAACTGGTACAAAATAGGATGTTACATTATAAATTTCTTTTATTTGTTGTACAAATAAATTCATTCTTAATTATAAAATAAAAGGTTAAAAATGCATTTTTTCTATAGAGTATTGTTTATTGTGCTTAGCTTACTGTGGTTTTTTCTAATGAAATCCCATTCATGGTATAGATCTATAACTATACCTACAATGAAGATGGATTTTTCCACCTGTTTGCTACATTTACAATTGCCAAGGTAGCAAAATAATTTATCTTTTAATCGGACACTTCACAAATTGTTTATCTATATAATTTTTTTGTTATCGGATAAACCCTATCCCAGGGAGGGGATAAGAAAGATGGTCTGAGATAAACTAAGTTTTCCTAACTGTATATTTCAAATGTATTCTAAGAAAATATTTCTACTTTTACAAGCATCGTGTGTGCATTTTTATTAATATTAAATCATATTTTATTTATAAATAAATAATTGATCAATTTATATTTATTTGTGAAATTAATTAATAGAATATTATGTAAATAAAAATTAATTTTTGGCAATTTTTTTAAAATAAAATATTATAAATTTAAGGATGGGTTAAGTTTACTTAATGCGTAACACATTAAAAGTGATACATTACTAAGTTGTGTTATTTTAAATTTGTCAATTGAAATTTTTAAAAATGTGAGTGATTTTATTTCTATTATGCATCCAAAATGAATATTCTGTGTTGAGCAGTATAAGCTAAATGCCAAATATTTGCATATTGCATTTCTAATTTAATAGCAGCAGCAATTGTTGAGCAGAATCTTGTATCTATTTACAGTTTAAAATCTTCTTAAAAAGGTTTCTTGCAATAACAGGACCCTATTTGCACAAATTCACAAAAGCAGGACCCTGGTTGAAAGAATGTGACTTAACGCTTTATTTTATATTCACAAATTATGAATAATTTTTTCACAATTATACAATAACAGGACCTTTCACAAAATGACTGGACAGACCCCTGCTGGAATTGTCAGGTTAAATGATATTCGAAAAAATGTAAATATACCAAAAAATACGGGAATTGTCAGGGAATTTGATAATTTATTAAATGTGAGATTTTCCTTCTTCATTTTGGCCATAATTTGCACTTGCGTTGCAAGAATAAATTAGGATTAAAAAAAATCTGATTTTTTTTTCCGGACCAACCATCATTAAGTGCATCCTCAAGCTTCTATTACTCGTAAGCATTTCTGGAGTGATGTCAGTTGGATATTCATCTTAAATAACTTGAAACTTGAGAGTATTGACATGTTAGATTTTTTTATCTACTTATGTTTATCAATTTTCGCCATCCATCATTTATTATGACAATATTTTATAATTTCGGATGATACATTAATTATTACAACCAAAACAGTTTTTTTCCCGTCTACTATGATTATTTATTTGGTAGTTTTAAAAGAAATATTTTTTAATTGAACTAGTTCTGATTCCTCAGAGTTGCAATATCATTGACAAGTTTTGCCTTAGGTGAATCACATCTGCTTTTAATATTTTTTCTGTTTGGTAAAAAAAACAAAACAAATAAAAGCAGATGATCATTTATTATTTCTAAGAGCAGACTATATTTTATGAAGCAGATTGAAGCTTTCTATTTTTACCAAGTGACACATTTCTGATTCTACTTCATTTTGAGTTTTTTCCCCTCCTGTCTCCTGTTCTCAATAAATTTAGTAGTTAATAAACTAGTTCTTCCTATTCATGCATTTTATAATAAAGAATTTTTTTTCAAAAAATTCAATTTATCTCAGAATATCCTGGGTTTTAAAGTTAGGCTCACACCTTTAACTTTCAATTATATCTGGTAATTTTTAAGTGTTGTTTTTATTTAATTTAATTAATGAGTTATTGTTTTTTATCATTTTCTTTTTTCCTTATAATTTGGTATTAAATATATTGCATTTTTTAATTGTTAGCTTTGCTTTACATTAGTTAATTTGGTGATTTTATTAAGTCATCAGTTATTAACAATAATAACTTCAATAATTTTTTAAAATTAATTTGGCATTTTACTATCATTTTTAGTTATCTATCTTATTTATGATTAATTTTTTTAAATGAAAAATCTTAACATTTTTGATTATCTTAACATTTTAATGAACAATCTTAATGTTTCTTAGTTGATTTAATTATGGTTTAATTTCTATTAAATACAGATTATTTATATATTATTTTTTTTAGGATAACTTAGTTCATGAAAAGCTGCTCTTTTATTTTGTTAATTAAGTTCTCCCTTTATTTTTGTTACCTTACACTTTTCATATTTCAGGATAATTTATTTATTTTATAGCTAAGGATTAAAAATATAATGCTTTTATCCTTCATTTATTTTTGATTTTCTATTGGTAAAAGGCATTATTCTTTATTTATCTATTCTATTTGATTTAATTTAATAAATAAGGATTAGTTTTAATTAAAAATGGATTGATAAGTTTCTTTTTATATGTTATAAATATACACTACCGGTCAAAAGTTTAGACTCACTCTTGAATTTTCAAAAATAGACAAATAACAATTAAAAATGACTTCTTTTAAACTGAAAATTACATTAAATTAACTTTATTTTGAGAAATGTAGGTACGCTTATATAGTAAAAACAATAATTTTATGCATAACTTATGAATTTTGTCCAATCTTTGATTCTTTGAAATATCCTCCTTTATCACAGCAGCACATATTTTTGGCATTCTTTCTATTAGTTTGTGTAATGTTCCAGCTGATATCTGGTTTCAGCAACTAAGTAAATATTCCCAAAGCTTGTTTCGATTGGTACATCTCATTTTTGTAACATTTCTATCAAGTTCATCCCACAATAGCTTAATAGGATTAATATCAGGGGATTGAGGGGGCAAATCCATATATTTCAGTACTTTTTTCTTTTCTTTTGATGTAATGTAGTTTCTACACAATTTCGATGAATGTTTTGGATTGTTATCTTACTGAAAAACAAATCCTTGTCCAACGATTCTCTGTCCACATGGAAAAGCGTAACGCTGCAATATTCTGTGATAATATTTTTTATCCATAATATCCTCTATTCTTACAAGATCTCCAACTTTATCACCGGCAAAACATCTCCAAATCATGACTGAACCTCCACCATGCTTCACAGATGGTAGTAAACATTGACTTGTCATACGTTCACCAACTAAACAACGAACTAGTACTGCCTTCGTTTGCTTCCAAGCAATTCAAATTTTGATTCGTCCTTAAACTTGACTAGTGTTTTGAAGACCAGGTAACATGTTTTTTTAGCCCATTGCAGTCGTTTTACTTTATTTTGTTTTTTCAAAAGAGGTTTTCTAGCAGCTACACAACCTTTTAGTTACGAAGTCGCCATTGTACAGTAGATACTGATACAATTTTCTGCAGAGTAGCATTCAATTCCTCACGGATTTCTGGTGCTGTTCGAGTCCGCTGCCGCTTACTTTGAATTACGGATAAACTTATCCTCAAGTTTGGAAGTTATTCTAGGTCTCCCTGATCGCTGGCGGCTCTTATTTTGACCAGTTTCTTTCTTCCTTTGCACAGTTCTGACAACAGTGATCTGAGAAACATTAGTTTTACAGGCAATTTGTTTACTTGAATAGCCTTCTGCATGAAGTGCAATAATAATTGCACGTGTTTCCACACTTATTTCTCGTTTTTGACCCATATTTCTGTAATAAATTGTATTAAAAAAATTTTTTTTCTTCTTCTTGTTTTTAATATATACCAGTTATTCTGGCTAATTAAGGCTATTATATCAATATTTAAAATTTGTCATGTACATGTACATAACTTATAATTAACCCCATAAAAGAAGATAAAAAGTAAATTGTTTATAAACTAAGAACTAATAAAAAACTCTTAACTAAATTACACTTGTTTTAGAATAGGTATTTAAGTGCACTTTCGTTCATTTCGTTATCAACTACAGAATAAATACAAAATGAAAAAATAAAGAATAGTTTTAAAAGAAAACAGAGTTTTGAGATGTTTGTTTATGATTATGTGCGATAAATTGTATGTTTAAATCAGAAACATTTAACTATTTTTGAAATAAATACAAGTGAGTCTAAACTTTTGACCGGTAGTGTATGTTCTAAGTTAAAAATGGTTTTTTAATAATTTTCTTTTTGAACTAGTATCATTCAAGTTTTTCAACCTTATTGGTGCTTATCTTTTCCATAAGAGATTTTTTTGGCAATGCTAAAATATTGGGTTTTAATTGTTTATTGCCTTTTCATTTTTGAAAGTGTTCATATGTTAAATAAATGCAGTTATTTCAGTTATATACAGATTATTTATATATTTTTATAATTTTTTTTTTACATCTTATTAGGAATTTGATTTTTTTTTTTAAATATAGCCCAGTAAATTTCTTTTGACCTATTATCCTTTTCAGTCCTGTTTATAGTTCGGACAATTTATTATTTTTAATCAGAGTTGGTACAGTCAAAATCACTTGATTGTTTTTAAATAAAAATAATTTATTATTGCTTTCTTTGAGTTCTGAATTTTCATTCTAATTAAATATAAAAATTAATAATATTTTTTTTTTGATTTTTTAAAACAAAAAATGTTACTTTTCTGCCAAATCACAATTTGTTACATCCCTAGTTCATGGCAAGAAGTTATGGATGTGACAGACACATCCATAATTATAATCAGAGGTGATTGCGCTCCGGAAAAATCCGGATTTCCGGTTTTTTTGCTAACTACGATCCAGAAGTTTCCTGAAATCCAAGGTCCAAAAGTTTCAAGAAATCATCTATCACATTTATGTATAAAAATTCTAGCATATTTTGTTTAAAAATAATAGAACTAGAATTTATTCTTAGCATCTCTTTCATTTGTAAATTTTTTTTTCTGGTAGTGTAATAAATGTGATTACACATAAAAGTGAACTTATAAGTAATTATTCATTCAAATTATACTACATATAATTTATTTAGAATTTCATGTTTGAAAATATCAACAATGATTTAAATTTATAAAGATATTTTGTACATATATTTTGAAATGCGTCATTAATGATTTCACTCAAGAAATTTTCCAGATTTTTGAGTTGGGCTCACAATCAC